GTGAGGTGGACAAATGAATGAACTAATGCCATCAAAGCGGGCTTGCTGACGAATCTCTTAATGCGCTGCAACTGACGTAGATGAAAACAACATGACTTTACGACACCCCGTATATGATCCTGCATGGTCAGATTAGCATCAAGTGTGAAGCCCAGAATTGTGGATGATCTTTCAAATTTAACAATGGTATCATCCATTTCTAATACATCTCGATTTATTTTTGATGTCTGCTGCCATGTACCAATTGGCACTAACTTGGTTTTATCTTTGTTCAATTTTATTCCATTTTGTGACATCCAAATATTTACTGCAGCCAACGCATCTTTCAGTCCTTCAGCTAAATCATCAAACTTTTCAACAGGAGCACATGACACTAATTGAATATCATCTGCATACGCATAACACTCCATCTTATGATTCTCCATCATGTCAAACACATCAGCAGTATACAACAAGAAGAGAAATGGCCCCAACACCGATCCCTGAGGGACGCCAGTTAACATTTTTTCTTCATCCGAATATTCATTACCAAATAATATCCGCTGTGATCTGTCATTTAAGTACGACTTGAAAAATCTTAGCACAGTGCCTGAAATTCCATAGCTTGCCGACATTCTTTGAACAAGTATATTGTACTCCACACAATCAAAGGCAGCACTCATATCAAGTAAAGCTAACAATGTCACTTGCTTTGAATCTGATGCCTGAAATAACGTTGGCAACAGCTTTAACAGTGCCGTTTCCGTAGAGTGGAATCTTCTGTACCCCGACTGAAAGCACGGAAGAAGATTATTTTCATCCAAGTATTGCAGAAGCTGTCTTGTAACCACCTTTTCAACAATCTTTGCTATAAACGACAAATTTGACATAGGACGAAAACTCTTCAACTCATTTGCATCGGACGATGGTTGCTTCAATAGCGGTGTAACAATTGCTTTTTTAAAAATCATTGGATAACTTCCAGTTTTCAAACACATATTGATCAAATCCGTCAAGTACGGCAAAAACAGTTCAATGTGTTTTTTGAAAAGACTCGTCAGGATGGGATCTAGCATACATGTTGTCGGAGGGGCTTTCAAAATAACTGCCTTAACATCATCACTTGAGCACTCCAAAAAATTCGAGAATACTTGATGTTCTTTAACCTTACAACTGAAAGAAGGTACGCCATGCCCTGTTATGGTTTTTTTTAATGTTTTCAATCTTTTTCCTGAAAAACTCTGCAAATTCACTGGCAGTAATTTTATTGTTTGCTACATCAACCGTGTTAGTTTTTTTGTTACATAAAACCTTGTTTAAAACTCGCCATAACTGTTTAGGGTTGTTAGCGTTAGTGTTAACTAAATTGTTCCAATATTATTCTCTTTTTTTTGCAAAATGCTCTTGTTTCATATTCATTAGGCCAATCCAGTTCTGCCTATTAACCATGCATTTATTTTTCCTGTATTTGCGTTCATACCTTCGACAATCACGTTTAATTCCTCTACAGTCACTATCAAACCATGGTGCAGTTGGAACCATTCTTGTTTCAACAACATGAAGAGGCGCAACAGTATTAGCAATTCTCATCATTTCATTGTTGAAGAGCTCCGCTGCTCTATCTACATCATCGTCATTACAAGCACCACTTATCGGAGATCCATTAATCAAGGTAAGCAAATGATTTTCATCCACACGCTTCCATGCCCGTACAGTCTTTTTAACCTTTAACACAGGGGAACAAACTATTGGCAAACAACCAAACTGTGATCAGAAATGACACCACTAGGATATACCCTAACACGAGTAACAGGCATATTTATTACTGGTACCACCAAGTCCAACGTTCCACCATGCATATGTGTAGGTTCTTTTATTACATCTTGCATTGAAAACATGTCAAACACATTCGATAATATCTTGGCATTAACATGATCATTTTTTTCGATATGCACGTTCAAATCACCTAATAATATTACATGATCACTCAATAACATTATGTTCTCCAAGATACTGGTCAATTCTTGAAAAAATGCTTTAAAAACCAACTGCGATCCTGGTCGATAAATGGCAAATAGTACAACATTAACTTTGCCTACTGTCAATATAACCACAATTGCCTCAAATGTTAATAATTCCGGCAAAGCTATCATCTGATGAACCATGCCAGGTTTCTGTTAACACAAGAATATCTAAGTCTTCATGTAATAATTCATAAATAGTATCATTCTTTGAAATCATTGATCTTATATTTAAGAGACCTAGACGTAATTTTTTCAATTATCCATCATTAATATCATCAGTCCTACCGCTATCAACTCCATCATCATCCCCGTCACAGGTAACATTAATTCGACCATCATCAACAAATCTACCATCACGTCTATCATCATCACCAGGGTCATCATCATCACCACCACAACCACCCAATTGATCATTCACCATGTTACTTTCGCTATAGTTAATGACAAAATTCACATTACCAAAATTTCCACTTTTTTTGATTCATATCCGCCCATTGCCCCTACCGAAAATATT